AAGCTGGTGGAATGCATTGGTCAGGAACTCATCTTCCTACTTCCAAATAAGAATTTCAAGCAGAGAGCATACGCCAGCCTTTTCAGGGAGCTGGAGGAGACGCTGGCCGACCTGGGGCTCAGCAGTTTCGGCATTTCTGACACTCCCCTGGAAGAGGTAACACAGATATTCCAGCTGGCTTCTGTCAGGTATCAGAAGAGGTAGTTCTCTGTGAAAGTCTAACACTATAGTGAAGTTTTATAGAAGCAAAAAGGCATAATTCCCCACCCAAGCATGGCAATTATCCTCATTTTTGGCTTACTTCCTCCTGCTTCTGTCCCATGCATACATATTTTACATAGTTGTGCTCACTGTATGCTTGCATTTTTGCATTTATAGGAGATTATGTTCTTGAATCAAGACCATATTGCATTTTTTTCCCATTATGAAGCAATACCTGACAAAATGGACCCTGGTTAGATTTTTCTGAGAGTAGGAATGCCTACCAAATTCTCTCTTTTATTTCTTGACAGATTTTTCTGAAGGTCACAGAAGATTCTGATTCAGGACCTCTGTTTGCTGGTATGGTATTGGGGTATGTGGCTTGCCACTCTCCTCCCCACACCCAGACTCTGTCTTGAAAATCTAAAGGAAAAGTCACAAAACAGCCACACACACAAATTCTCCTCTATAGTGTTTGACCCCCAAATAACAGGCATTTTGTATTCTTGGTGCCTTGGGATAACAAAAGGAATGAGAGACTGAATTAGGCCTGGGTAGGAACATTCCAGATGAATCGGGGTTCTCATGGAGGTCAGATTGGTAAATTTCTCTCCAAACTTATCCTACATCCTCAGCCTCTTGTTCTGCCATGTGGCCAGTCTCATCTCTCATCCACCAGGTCTCTGATCCATTCTTGTTGCATGAGTGACAGCTAACAAAGTCCTTTGAGATAATGGTGACTGTTAATACAACCCAGATGCCAGCTAGATTCCTCTGGTTCCTGAGAGATAAAGACAAAATCACTRCAAACCCTCAGTTGGTGGCATATGGACTTTGAAAATGTGGGGACCAGAATTCCTGTGAATTCTGGGATACCCTTCCACATGTGTAAGGCTGGAATCCTTTCATGATTTTTAACCAAACCCCTAGATCACAAGAGGCATTGTGGGTGGAGTAGGCTCCACTGCAGACGAGAAAGATGGAGAAATGGAAGTTCAGGGGAAGTGACTTGTCTGCCCCAACACAAGCCACCTGTGATAGAACAAGAAGCATCCACCTGGGCTTTTAGAGCTCTCTTGCTAGGCCCCCTCTCCTGTTCACAAGCAAAGATGGGCAGCAATTCTCCTTTGCTGCCTTGGGCTCCTGAAACTACCTGTGTCACTGCTTATCTCCTCCTACCCAGAGTGGCACATCATGGTKTTTTCCCACATAGAGTATTTCCTCCTAGTAGGGGTTCTGGTACCAGTTTGTATGATAATATGGTTTTCAACTTACTTCTACGTGATCCTAGTTTTGCCAAGAACTATGACCACACATACCAGGCCATATATCATGGCCCAAAGAGATGGTCATCATGACACAGTGTGTGGAGAGGGGCTGTCCTATGGGGAGGAGAAGAGCAGCTCACCAKGTTTTCTTTGAGCCTTGTGGATACAGAAATTGATACACTCTACCCCAAAACAAATACTTACATTAACCAAGATCAGAATGCAAATATGCTAACTTTTGTTAAAAGTCATGCTGAGTTAAGAAGTTAGGGCCCTTTATCTACACAGAATACTCCTCTTTAATAATTATTCTATTTGAAAACTGTTTGGTCAGTAAAGACTAGGATATTTCAAAGAGACAGTCAAGCATAGAGATTAAGAGTGAAACAGGCCAAACATCAAACCTGAGCTCCATAATTTGCTAACTGAGTAGTTTTGGGTAAGTTCTTAGCCTCTTTGTACCTAAGTTTCCCCATCTGCAAAATGGGGATAATACTAGCACCTACCCTTTAGAGTAGTAGAGAGAATTAAATGAGATAATGCATGTTAAGTCTT